CAATGTACCGTCTCTCCAGGATGAATGCATTGGTGCACTGTCAGAGATACGTAAATCGCATCCTACCTTGCTAAGCCTGTTTTGTATTTTTATAACTTTTGTAAACTCATATGCTTACATTTTAGTTAAAAATATACATTGGCTGTCATGCGGAATAAAATATACGGTTTCATATAACATGTAAAATAAAGAATGTCGCTGAAGTTTCATGTACAAAAGATCAAACGTAATTCACTTGCGACCCTGGTTAGTAGTCGGGCCAGGTAGGGTACAGGGGAACTTTTATAACTGTTATTGCGAGAGGGTGGATGCAGAAATGAGGGGATCGTGGACAGATGGGAATGGCAAGACGGTAGATCAGGATGCAGTGGATGAAGAGAGTCATATGGAATCTTACAGGCAAGTTTAACACAAGATTTGATGTGACCATCAATGGGTTCTGTGATTAAGGAATCGATCGAAATTAATGATGCACGAGTGATGATCATCAAACCACGGAGAATTGTTTTGAAATCTTGTTTTAAAAGACCGGGAAACACTACAAAGGAGCATTGGAGTAGAATGAGCAAAACAATTTGATCAACGAAAGAGGACCGGACTGACTGTGGGGTTCGGAATTGCCTGAGTTGCATAACTGGAAAGATAGGCGTCTCAGTTTTCCCATTTAACTTTAAATATGTGCAGACCAACGAAGATTACTGTCGATGGTGATACCCAGGTACTTGACTGAGGTAATTCTGAACACTAGTTTACAGTTTGGAGTAACAGAGTCAATTGTAAAAGCGGAACGAAAAGACGGAAGGTACACGCTAAGTACTTAGTTGAGTTAAGAATGAATCCAGATTGGTTGAAAAACTGTTAAATGTGGGATAAATTTTCAGTGAATGTATCCCATTCCAAAGGCGAGGGAATTTTCTGGCAAGAAACGACGTCATCAGCATAATTTTAGATTCGTGCCGGAGTCGGATCGGAAGATCACTAATAAAAGAAGAAAAAGGATATGGAGAAAGAACAGCATCTTAAAGTGCATAAAAATCATTAACCAGACGTTTTTCTGTACACCCTTTCAATTTGATGCAATAGATCCTCTCTGTAAAGGAGTCGAAAAGCCAAGAAAGTAGCAGTCTTGGAGTGTCAACATACTCAAGTTTGAAAAGGAGGAATATTCAAGAAATCAAATCAAACGCGGAAAAATATTCAACAAAAACAAAACCGAGAAGTCTGGACAAAACGTTCAGTGACTTACCAATAAAGTGGAATAGATTGAATATGGCGTCCCCTATTGAGTCTATATGCAAATTGGAGGGAATCAAAAAGCATTGTAGTAAACGACTGCAGGCGAATCAGGATGGCCTTTTCAACCAACTTCAGAGATGTAGAGGTCAGCATGATAGGACAAAACCGTTTCGCAAGAACAGTTGTGAACGAGAATCCGGGTATTGGAATACTGGGGACTTGCCGATAAGAATCGAGAATATATCAGGAAAACGGGGACTCATTAACGAGGAATGTCATCATTTTAGACAGGAGAGCTGCTCCAAAAGTTGAGAAGTGCCGGAGGAAGACCATTAGTANTGCTTCAGGGGGGGGGGGTCCGAGAAGCTTACAGATTTCATTATTATAATTGCATCTCTTACAAGCAATAGCGCTTCTAGTGTTTCTTCTACCATAGTTGTTTAGTATTTCACTCCAGTCAGCTGATCCATTTGCGGATTTTTTTTCTTTTTACTTCCTTCTATTGGATAAATAGTGATACGACTTTCAAGAAGGGAGAAACGGCCAATCAAAGACCTGCCATACAACACAGAGAATGGGGAAAGTTAGGCGGCGGTGTTGGGATTTGAACACAAGTCCTTCAAGGTAATAGGTTTCGACGTTATCACCGGGACATCACCACCAGCAAAAAATAATTAAGAAAGAACCTGTAATTGTGTGCACGTAGGTCTTCTGTTGGCTCTACTCAGTTCAGTTCAGTTTGAACAACCATTACCCATGCACTTTAGTGCGCCGGTTTTGGTAGCTATCATTTGACTGCCCAGTAGAGATGGAGAAGATACACGAAAGTTACTGTTTACGAAACTTAGTCATATCACTCAGTGTCTCTGACCAATTGCGGTCATCTGGAGGTCCCCATCCAAGGAGCCTAACGGGACCTATGTGAGCTAGTTTCCTGGTTAGGATTCCCATACCCTCGGGCCAGGTATTGACCACTCTTGGCTTTGTTCCACCCACTACCTGCCTCGGCGAACATCGCTCGTCGTGGTAACCTATTTGGATGCATGTGTAACACATGCCCCAACCGACATAATCTACGGATGTCGACCACTTGCTGCAGTGGGCGACCGCGGTTGCCGCAAAATCCACCCCTAACCTCAGCGTTGCTCTTCCGGTTACTCCACCATATTCGCGCAATGCTGCGTAGACAGCGGTGTTCAAACAGCAACAGTCTATCTTTAACCTATTTTCCTCATGATCAAGTTTCTGCACCGTTTTGCATAACTGGCGTAACTGCCGCAGCATAAACTCAACCCTTCACAAACGGCCGAATGTCGCGACGGTGCCACAGATGTCTCAAGTTGGCAAATGCCCCTTGAGCCTTCTGTATGCGACTTGACACGTCGTCAGTGATACATTCACCGGGTGAGATATGGCTGCCCAGATAACAAACTTATCCACTTGCTCTATTACATCCTCAGTTAGAGTGAGGCTGGGGTCTGGAACAACCCAATCATATAGCGACATTTTACAGTTTGAAGGTGCCGAATGCATACCGAACATGGTTACGTTACCATTCAAGATATTCAGAAAGGCTTACAGCTTACCTGAAGTTAGCCCTACTCTTAATACTGGAAACAGTTCTACAAAATAGGATAACGAATAACCTGAATTTTTATTTTATTCTATTTTCACACATGTCTAAATCCAGACTGTGCCAAACAAATCGTGGTGTAATAATATTTGTGATTGTCGGCAGATAGATCTTAGATAGTTTTATTGTAGGGCAGACATATTAGTTAAACTTGTTATAACTCATCAAGAAGAAGATATAAAGGTTAGGTAAGGGTGAAAATGTGCAGACATTTTATGTATTGCATATCTCATGTCCCACATTTGTGAGTGGTATAGTTGGATTGCGCAAAAGAATGCAGTTGGCGGTTTCTCACAAAGGTCAAAAATAAACAAGACATCTTGGAGTGGGTTAGTATGTTTAAAACTGTAACTACGGACAATGCATATCTAATGACAAACAGTTTTATCAAATGGCCTGCTTGCTTGTAAAAATAACTAGACCTGTTCCAGATGAGACGTTTTGTTCTATTTAATCCAATTTACCGATGCGTCTATCGTTGTCCCTAATCAACAACTTTCTTCGACCTAACACTGGAATTTAGATTTTGTAACAATACAACATCCAGGTCATTGGAAAAGTGTTCTTATTTACTTTATCATAGCCGATTATAAAACAATCTCTTAGTATTTCTCCACCAATATGTTCTTTTGAATAAACTCAGACACACTTATATGGGTGCAACTGAAGCATGCTCCACGTTTTCCAGATAACTAATCTCGGTTGATGAAACTCATGACCATTCAATGATAATGGGGTGTCGCAACGAGTGGAATGTTGCGGCTCTAACACGAAGTGTTCGACTGCAGTATGACCTACTGGACAGTGAATCGGATCAGATAAAAACAGCTAGAAGCGCTAGGTAAGTGAAAAGTTTACAAATTCTCTCAATTCCCACTTTTTTATAAGCATACGACGATGGAAGAAACTGAAAGACTATCTGTTTGCAGATCGCCCAACTAAACCAACTTTGGATTTTCGACCTCCACCCCTTTTGGGTCTAGTCAAAGATAAAGTGACGAACTTAACAGCTCCAGAGCCTATCCACCAGGTATGCTTATCGCTACAACAACCCACTAAAATGAAGGCCTTTTAATCTCCAAGTAAAATGTTTTCTGTGATCAGACTAAACCTTATAATTGTGTCAGTTTACCACACAGAGATTCATGCCTTTCATTAAACCAAATCTCATTAGTTTTGATGCAAAATGAGCCGGCATTTTTGGATTGTAATTACGCAGCATGATTCAAAAAACACTGTTCAAGACAACTTTGTCCGAAGGTAGTACCAGGGCGCTAATTCACACTTGTTACTTGAGTAAATAGTGTTGTTTCTTCTCATGAATGCTTAGATACGCGTATTATCAACAATTTGATCGAATATGATTTCACACAACTTTTAAGTGAGGGATCTCAACTGTGA